CAACTTCCTGGAGATCGACGTGGGCAACCCGCAGACGGTGGGGGTGGGCCGCGGCCGCTTCACCACCTACGAGATCCGCGTCAAGGTGAGGCAGCCCCGGCCCGGTCGCGGGGGTGGCGGTGTCGGGCCCTGCTGTCCCCCGGGGCTGGCCGGGGGCGGTGATGGGCTCCCTGCGCCGTGTCCTTCAGGACCCGTGTCGCGCCTGCTGCAGGAGCGGCGCTGGGGGGGCGGTGGCAGAGCCGCAGTGGACTCTCCATCCTCGGCCCGGGGCTCCTTGCTCTGTGACGGGCTATTAGGAGTTAAGGCGATGCAGCTCGGTTCAGGTAACCATAGGACAACTGCTCTCTCGGCTCTGCTGTGCACAGATTGTCCTTAGACTGAAGCACCGTGTACTGCGAGCAACTGCTTGTCTGTCTTCAGGTAAATAGAGGAGGGCAAACTCTGAGCTGTCTGAGGTGGAGTAATATGGGTGTATCTAGCCTGAGAAGGAGGTCAAGTTCAGGATTCCAATGGTCTCAAAAGATGCATAGAGAATGTGTAAATAAGTTTAGTGGGCACATGTGCTAGATCAAAGCCAGCTGAAGTGATAAGGTACATGTGTATGGGGCAGGGCTTCCTGGTTTCTTTTGTACCTGAACTAAAATTTTAGTGCCTGATAAATTGGGCCGTTTCTTGCTATGTGCTGCAATCAAGTACTTTTTCTTAGTAGCACTACGCTCCTTCCTAGCTGGAAGGGCTGTGTGCACTGACTTGCCCCAGAGGCTAGTAGTCTTGAGCTTGAGAAAAGCTATGTGAAGTCATTACTGTGTTCCCTGGTCTTTCATAAACAGAGCCCAGAGCAGTGGACAAACAAAATGCAATATTTACAACATAGTTCTTACCTGTGGCTGGTAGGAACTTGAGGTAGGGAACCCTTTTTGGTCTACATTGCCAGGGATAAGTTGGGTTGAAAAAGATGACCTCTTATAATTTTTTTTGTTTGTTGGTTTGTGGTTGAGTCTACTGCCTTGTATTGCTTTTCTCTGTTAAAGCTGATTGAAACAGGTCAGTTATTACAGTCACTAATAAAGGGGAAAGCTTCACTGACTCCCTGCACACATTCTCTGAAACAGGAGGTTTTACATATGCCTTCAGAGTAGGGAGGGCTTCAGCTGAGGGCTGCTGCCTTGGTCACTAAAATTCTTTAAACAAGACTTAACCTTGTGTGGATTTTCTGGTTTTAAAGGTCTAAGTTCCCAGCTTAATGTAACCTTACTTAAAAAACCAAAATCAGCTGAGATCTAAAGCTACTAGGAAGGATACTTTATTTCAAATGCTTATAAATTGTCATGTTCAGTAGCCATTCTTGTGTTTCAGGATGTGTCAGTGGGGCAGGGAGAATAAGCTAACACTCTTGTTTGTAACCTGTGTTCAGCCTCTGTTTGAGGACAAACTAGAACTTGCAGACTTGTGTTGCATTACACTGACCTTATCAGAACACCAGCAGTCCACTTAGCAGAAAGATGTAATTCTACCTTGCTGGAATGTGTTTGCACCTTAAGTTCCTGATGACGTTTCTTTCCATGAGACTGAGCATTTGGAATTGCTGGACCCAGGGAATATGGTACAAATGGGACTTAGCCATGATATGGCCCTGGGAATGAGAATAAATTTCCTGTGATTAAAAAAAACACAATAATTTTTTAAAAATCCTTAACTGAAGTTCTTCATCAGAAAGAAAAGCAGAAAAACAGGTTTTGAGACAGATTAGTTTTAGCCTATCTGCTGTTTGGGGTAGAAAATTCTGGATTCCTGTTGTAATGAAGACCAAGAAGTGATTTGGACAAACATACACTATGATAGTGCTGTGACCTTCCTCTGTTCTTCCTCCCAGTCTGACTACTATGTAAACATTCTGTCCTCCGCCCTCCTTGCTTGCATCCTCCTTGCTCGCATCTGTGCATGCCTGTGTACAGGACTGTCTCTTATAATACAGGATCATTCCCTTTCCAGTTGTGCACTGGTGTGCACATAGTGCTGTACATGTAGTTCATTGCTATCATGAGCTGTAAAATTGAATATTATGTCTCTGTGTGCTGGAAGGCTACAGAGCAGCTAATACAAGACATGCAGAATTATGTTCACTGTCTAAACTTACCAATTAACTGCTTCTCAGCAGAACACGGACCATGTTACTAATATGCAAGTTTCATCATGGAAGAAGAATTCAAGTTTGAATTGCTGTGGTATTGTATTTATAAAAGGTAGGCCTAGTACTGTAAGCTGCTTCTCGGAGTGTGGCAGACAACAGCCACCAGGTAGCCTCTGTCTTTGACAAGTGCTTGTGGTCATAGAAAGTAAGAAAGTAAGCAGCTGACATTGACAGTTTACCCCAGCAGTGCCAGTAGTGGAAATAGAACAAACCTGAGAAGATGGTGTGAGTTATCTGTGTCATGTCTGGAAAGCTGTGTCTTCAACTAACACCAACATTAAAATGTTAAGTGTGCAGAAATGGAAGGCTTAACTGCTGCCAGATTCTGGAGAAAGCAGCTTCATGTTATGGCTGGAGGTCATGCTAAGCTGGAAATATTGTGAGAGAGGACATTGAGATTCAAGTTTTTGTTGAGGCAAGTAGACTTGTACCATTGTCGCGGTGTTTACAAACTCTGTCCAAGCGTAATTCTATCTTTGTCTGAATCTAAAAGCTTAACATTTTTTTTCTTTTTGTTTGAAAGACTGAGCTTGCTAGCAGACTCTTGAACTGATATCTGTTAATGAGTATCTTGCAAAAAGTACGTGTGAAATACTGCAGAGTTTCCCCAAAGCTTTTACTGGCAAGCTTTGTACTGGTAGTGCAGCTGAAGCAACAAGTGGAACAACCTCATGCTTTAGTTCTTCTATTGCTGTACTCATCAGCTTCTGGTGGAAGTTGGAACGTCTAATGGGAAACTCTGAAGTTTTGGGCAGACTCCTCAACAGTACACAACTGCATAAGCAAGTCAATAATATTTTGGTACTTAGGAAGGTTTTTCACAGTGAATGTCTTTGTGAAGGGTTGCTGTGAATTTTGGTAAATGCATGGTGCTTTGACAAGGATTTAAGGTCTCTTAAGAGGATTGCTGCAGGTAGACCCTATACAGCACTTCTAGCTGGGCAGCTTACTTCACAGATGGACACTTGGCCAAAGTATTGACTTTCTGAGCCTGAACTTACATTAAATAACAGTCTGTTCTTGGCAAGCTGAACAAGGTGATGACAGAAAGCTTTCCACTGTAGCAACCACTGTAAGGCATACAATATGGCAGTGTGCCACCACAGTGCAGCCCAGCAATAAAAGTCAAATGTCTTGCTCAGAAATGGTAAGTGATAGAAAATGCCATCCTGGCAGTGCTGAAATGGCAAATCTGAGTGGGTCATGTTTTTGATGGGGTACTTGAGAATTTGTTTTCTGTCAGTAGAATTAGGCAGTGAGTTTGTACCATTCTAAAGTGTCCTTTGTGTGTGATGGCTTAGGGTGAGCCAAAACGGAGATAATGCAGTAGGGTATAAAGTTCCAAGTGCTTTTTCTAGTGAAATAAGCTTGATAAAGTACTCATCTCATCTAAAGTTATCTAAATGATCACAGTATGGTGACAGTATTTAAAACGAACATTATCAGCTAGACTGCCCACTAAAGTAATACTGCAAACTACTTCACTGCCCTTACCTCTTGAGGAAAGGTGTGAACCAACAGGTAAGTTCTTGGTGTAAATACTCTTCCATGCTGTTTCTCATAAGTCTTTACTAGCTGTTCCCTCCTACTTGTTAAACCTTGTCAGGGTGGGCTTGTGCACGTCAACACTCTTCAATGAGGGCATGCAAATACCTGTTACTATTTATGGGCTATAAGTCAGTCCTCTCCCTGAATTCCAGGAAAGAAACGTAGAACAAATGGCAGTTGTCATATTATCGTCCTACAGCATGTCTTTAGTCCCCAGTCCAGTTCCAGGTATCATTTGTCTTCTGCTGTAGTTGAGACATAGTTTTCTTGATAAGTGGGTCAAAAGGAAGGTCTTCGCTCAACAGATTCTCTGCAATAGCTTCAGCTCTTAAATCCTTTAAGGAGACAAGACTTAAGCTTTACAAGCTAACTCTGATCCAGCAACTGGTGGCACACGTCAGAGCCATACACCCACTGTGGTGGCAGTGCCATAGGAGGTAAACACATTGGTTAGAATACTGTCAAGAGAGCGTATGGGTATCCAGGAACTTGCTACATGTGGGGAAATATCCCTTTGTTAATGCTATTTCATCTGTTACTGTTTCTGTAGAAGTAAAAGTGGCTTCTGTGCTGCCCATTTTGATTGGGTTTGTCACCTAAGCTAAAAGATTAAATTATCTGTTTATGGTTAGTGAGAACTTGCAGGGAAGTCGCTGGTATTCAAACTGACAGAACTCAAACAAAACACCTGTTACAGGAGCTATTAGTCCAAGTAGTTAAAGAATTTTTTTTGGTCAAACTAAAGCCAAACTAATAGCCTTTGTCTTCTTAGTTCTGTTCTTTAATGTTCAATGGCCTGTTGCCTCTAATCAGTGTTATTAAACTCAGCACTAAGGTATACCTTAGCTTTTCAAGGTTCTCTAGTGCAGTGGCTTGTCTCAAGGTGTAGAAAGGTACTGTCTTGCTGCTGTGCTTTCAGATGTTGTGAAATGGATCACTTGAGTGGCACCAATGCTCTTTAAGGCAGCAGTCACCTTTCCTGTATCTCCTGCAGAAAGACTTCTGTAGACCTGCAGAGGTACTTGACTCTGTAGGTCCAGTGTGGGGAAGGAAATGAACACACAGGCTGTGTGAAGTGCCTGCAGTGTTAAGAATAGTATTGGTTTCAAAGGATTGGGGAAGTATATCCAAGTACTGCTGAACTTGAGACACTTTTGAAAGTCTGTTCTCCTCTTAACCCATTTTTTCAAGACTTAGCTTGGATACAATATTTGCATTTCAGCATATTTATAGTAGTGTGAATTGAGTGACTGATTTGAGCCTCACTGCTGTGATCAAATCAAGTCAGAGTAAGACAGTAAATGAACTGAAAGTATAACTTGCTCAGAAAGCACTTGTCTTATGCC